TGAGGCGCCTCTATTGGGGTGGCCCCGCTGAGGTGTCCTGGGATGATTCCCAGAGAAACCCGGACACCTGTGAGGGCGTGCGGGACTTGGCGTCTAGAGCCTTCTTTGGAGAAGCAAACGTCATCCCATCCCATATCACACTTTGCCCGGAAAAGATCCAGAACACGACAAATTCCATTGCTCTCCATTTCTCCATGAGGAGACAAAGGAATTCCAAAGCAAAGCCTCCAACTCAAAACCTTTTTTTTTTTTTGCTTTATTATTATTGGAAAAAAAACTTTCTTCTCACATTAAGAATAAATAACATATCTTTGTCCAAATGTCTTAAGAAATTGTGAAAACATGTGACTTTATAAAGGTCAACATATTTCATTAAGCTGTAGTATCTTGTTCCTCTTAGAGTCCTGCACTACATTTTTTTTTTTCCCCCAGTTCTGGGTAGTTTCTGGATATGTAATCTTTTTTCCAGATACTCCTGAAAAGAAGCAAAAGTTAACATTATAAAATGAATATTTGTTATTGAAGATTCTATAACTTCTATAACGGAACTATCAGATATTTTTATTCTAAGTTTTCTTGTGTTTCTGGCTTTCACTAAAAATCAGTTAAAAATTTAATATATTTATTTCAGGACTGCTCAGGAAAAAGTAGAATGGATCTTTGGGTTATTTTTTTCTGGTTTCCAAGAAAAAAAATGGAGCATCTATATAATCCTTTTGTGTGTCCATTCCCTCACCAGTGCTTTGCTAATTTCAGCAACACCTGACAAAGACCTAGAGATCTCAAAAACACTAAATTCCTGATGGTTTCATGAACACTAGTCATCATGCTGTGGATAGAAAACCAAACTGCTACCACCTTAACCTCACAACCTTAACCCGCCCAGTCACCACACGTGACCTGACACCTACCAGCAGTTACAAAATGCAGGTGGAACCAACAAGGAGATAGAAGAAAGTGGGACACCAATGTGCAGGAATTCAGGATTCACTAGTTCTGCTGCTAACTCACATAGAAAGTATTATTTTGTGATGCAGCACATACCAGTTTTGCTTCTCTGAAGAGTAACTCAAAATAGCACTGCATGTATTATGAACACAATTAAAATTAAATTTTTGCGTTCATAAATTTAGTAAAATTTATTTCCTTTAGTATGTCATTTATGTAAATTTAATCAATTATTGAATAATTGAAGCAATGGATACCTCTTTTTTGTATAAATTTTTACTTTAAAAAGTCTCTAGAATATAAACCTAATTTCTTCTAGGCTTGGGAAATATGGTTTTAAGAACAAAGGGACTATCACCACCGTTTGTAAAGTCTTATCAGTAATTTCAGTCTTGTCTGACCTTCACATAATCACAGAATCACAGCATGGTTGAGGTTGGAAGGCACCTCTAGAGATCACCTAGTCCAACCCCCTGCTCCAGCAGGGACACCTAGAGCACGTGGCACAGGGTGGCATCCAGGCGGGTTTGGAAGATCTCCAGAGAAGGAGACTCCACAGCCTTTCTGGGCAGCCTGTTCCAGGGCTCTGTCAGCCTCACAGGAAAGCAGTTCTTCCTCACATGGAGTCAGAACTTCTTGCGTTTTATGGTACACATATTCCCTACTGTTTCTGATGACTAAGACAGTAGATTCTCAATTGCTAAGGAAATAACAGATCAGAAGAAGTCAGGAAAAAAAAAAGAGGTTTGCAAGAAGAAGAAATATAGAGAATTAACTTCTCAGAAATGTAGGTCAAGTGAAAGAAAACAAGATATTAAAAAAAGAAAAGAGAGTGAGGGACAGAGACTCACTCTTCCCTCTCCTGCACCTCCTATGACAAGGGCAGAAACCTTAAGCCAAGAACTCCCAAACTTCGCAACATTCTGGGCTTCATAAGGGAAAGAAAAGTGGGGTTCATATTGTCAACAGAAGAGGCCTGAGTGAAGCAAATACGCACTCACCAGCCTATATAATCTTCAATGTCCAGCAGCAGCCAGAGTAGACCTGGCTTGTTTTTTTGGGAGCTGCAAAGTTGACTCCTCCATGGCTTGGGTCTCCATGTCCACCAGCCCACGTGTGCAGGTGACACCTGCTATTGGCTGCGGAGAGAAGGAGGATTTACGGCAAGGGGAGGAGCAGAACCGTGTAAAAGAGTGTAGTTTGGCCAAAGAGAAATCGCCAGAGTTTCCTGCGAGCAGCAGGAAGGGGGCGTGGGAAGGAGCTGCAGACATGGGGCCCCTTGCAGGCAATGCAAGAATCACGCGTTTCTAAAATACAATATGTTCTTACCCCAGCTTTTGGCATGGGATGAAAACAGAGGCATAGTTCATCATTGTTAAATATTAAATGCAAAATATTATTTTAATAAGTTACTTGCTCACCAGAGCAATCCAAAAGTACATCTTAGATATAAAATACTATGGTACATTGCTGCTGACGTTATATTACTGGTTCAAAAAACACAATGGGTTCAAATGTGGTGGCATTTAATTGAGTATAATAATTTTTGTGTCTGTTTTGTAGAGTTGAAGCTAATGGTTTGCATAATGCAATTATAGCTAGCAATTACATTACAATTCTGCTGCATTTACAACTGATTTTAATTATGTCCATGACTTGTGCAGTTTATTCAGATAGTCATTCACAGTGGAAATGATCTGGTGAAAATATTACCAATATTACTGAAAAAGGTGATTCCCAAAGCAGCTTTCTGCAGGAATTAACATGTACATATTAATAAAATAGATATTACAAGAACTAGGCAAAAATATGATTTAGCAAAAGTGGATGGAATTATATATATTAGTGTTTAAAATACCCCTTAAGAAGATAGATTTGCCAGTTGTAAATGCCTTTCACACTGCAATATATTTGTTATTCATAATGCACTTCTTATATTTTGTTATATTGTATGTAATTGATTTATCTGTCTTCATAGAGAGTAGATTGTGAATTAGAGCAGAATTATGTTATTTTCCCTTTTTAGAGCTTTTTAGAAATAGTTGTTTTTGGAAACTTTTGTTTTTTGAAAACTGGAAAAAAGATTATAATACCTACACTGGTACTACTTTTGATAACAAAGGAAAGTAACATGCCGTAGTTAACTGTTGGTACTGGTGAAATACATAAGCCCACAGTATCGAGACTTTCACACAAATCAGTACCAAAATACTAACCAGCTGAACTCTTAAATTACAAGTAGAGAAGAAAAAGAGTTTCATTTGAAGCCTTTTTTTAGTTAATTGCCATTTAAATAAATTGAATTAGCATTACCTTTAATTACCATTAAACACTTCTAAATTTTTAGCTAAAAAAATAACTATTTGAAAGGTTAAGTATTGAGAAGGTTATAATTTTAATAATATTATTTTTCCCCCTCAGCAGTCTTTTAGAGGTGTACTGAGATGATCTCTTCTTTTCAAGAGGAATGCTGTTAAATGCAGCTTTACTGCCCCAGTAGATAAGCTGAAATGTCTGCATGACACTGCAAAACTTCTGAACACTTCATCAGTCCAAAATTCAATACTAGAAAATTACTCACTCTTCAAAGTTTTTAATGGGAGCATTATTTTTTTAATCCAGACCATTTTCTAAAAGCATATTAGGGGCTTATAAAACAAGCAGTTAAACTAAAAGAGCAAGGGTAAGGTACACGCAATCACTATGACGAGCCAGCTGTGGCCAGCAACCCCTGAAACCAACTCAGTAGCTGGAACAGCTTGACTCCTTACTTGCAAAAAGATACTGCTCACCATGCTTTGAAAGCCAGGGAAAGTTCTCCTGTTAAAAAGCACAGTTTCAGGTCTCCTCAAACTGCTATTACATTTTCACAGAATAAACTGGATCTTGAAGAATAACTGGACAAAAATCTGATCAATTTTTCACTTTGTTTCAGTTGTACAAACAGCTAATTTGACTGAAGGCGGAGGACTGATTCAGGGCAAGAATGAAAATCAGAAAGGTGAGAAAAGTGATTTTCACCTGAAGTGCTTGGGAATTTGGTTAGGCTATTTACTGCTTTCCAGTAAAGACAATTGCATCACATAGGTTTTTCCTGTAGCACAATCTGGAATTAGCTCTTCTTAAACCTAGTGAGAAAGGTCCAGTGTTGTCACAGAAGAGCCTAATATTTCCGGGTTGTGTGTTAAATCTTCATACATTAATGTCTATTTATCATATACTTCATAGCACATAAAACCATTTGTAGATTGATCCACCTTCTAAAAGCACAGGAAAGGCCTGTTGGGACTCAAGGTTGTTGGGAGGATTTCAAAAGCAGAAGCGAGGTGGACCAGGAGGTATTTCCAAGCCACTCGGGCAATGTGGGTATACGTAGCTGTGCCAAGGCCTGGGTCCAGGCACTGCAGTCAGCTGTCTATGAAATTGTTAAAATAACCCAACCACCGCATTAGGTAATTTTCATTCTTCCAAACAATTTCCAATGTGGTTTAGGAGTTAACCGCAGCCAGGGACCATTCCTTATAGCTGTTTTCAGTGTGTCCACTCATATTTTGGAGGGTTAGAGAGCTTCATAACATGAAAATATTATGATATAACATGAAAGTATTATGGCAACATTATTGCCATAATACTGACATAATATGGTCATAATACTGGCACTGTATTGTTTACAAGGATAGATATAGATGCCCTGACTCCTTAGCATGGCCTCCTTCCCTCCAGTGCCCCAAATAATTGGACCAAAATACGTTCCACACCACTATACGCAAGTCCTGGATGTGGACAAGTTCTTTCCCCATTATGCATCTCCTGCCTCAGTCTCAATGTGTCTGAGAACACAGATAATCTAAAAGCCATAGGTTTAAATTTATACGAGGGATCACTGGCAGAAAATAGGAAAGTGTGTGTGTGTTTATTTATTTATTTATGCCGAAGCTTATCATTTACAACAGGCAATTCACCTTAAAAACTTGCCCAGCTAGGGTGTGTTACTCTGCAAAATACTTGTTATGAAACATTTCTACATGGAAAGAGCGGTCAAGCATTGGAACAGGCTGTGCAAGGAAGCGGTGGAGTCACTGCTGGCAGTGTTCAAGAAACACTGTAGATAAGGTGCTTAGGGACATGGTTTAACAGGCAGAGTGGGGATAGGCTTGATTATCTTGCAGGTATTTT